CCCCGCCACCCCCCTCCCCCTCGGAGCTCTCGATCGCTCCTTTGCCGCGGAGTCGACTCTGCATCCGAATTAAGGGCAATTACACGCAAACAGAGATCTGGTCCGGCTGTGTTGCCAAATTGCGCCTACCGTTAGAGTTCAAGCTGTAAAACTGAAGCCTGTTTCATATGCGTTCAAAAAGGAGCTTCAATTGGGGGTCATCTGAGCATTTTTTGAACGCTTTTCTGAGATTTGTCTTACATTTCTTCAGCAATCGGTGCAGAGGTGTTATTTTAGTCAATTTTTGGGGGACGGGTCGAAAGTTATTCAAGCAGATATAATTAGCGCGTAGAGGGAGGATAAATTTCAACAAATTCCCAAAAATTCCCTTAAATTGATGGAAATTCACGGACATTGTGCGGACAATACACTGGAAAAAAAAAACACATTGGATCTAGAGTCCAGACTCCTGAAAACATTGCCAAGAAAAAATACTCTTGATTGAATCGGATTTTTGCTTGAATCAAAACGAAATCCGCTTAAATTAAGAAGCTTGGTTCTTGATTTAAGCTAGATTTTGATTGAATCAAGAGTACTTTTTCTTGTCGATGTTTTTAAGAGTCTGGACTCTAGATCCAATGTGGTTTTTTTTCCAATGTAGAATAATCAGTAAAATACGAGAGGGGGAAAATTGCCTTATCTATGCTCTCAAAATGACACTCTTAAATCGATGAGGTCAGGACACCGTTATTAAAGTTAATCGGAACTTTTCATATTTCGATATAAACTTGTGTAAAAAGAAAAACAATACCCTAGAAAAATAACAATTATGGAGTAAAAACCTTATGACGTATGAAGTAAATTACAGGACTTATTAGATTGAAGATTTCGCAAAGAGTTAGTTGCCGTAGTCGGGAAATTATGTTTCATCGGTTGACAGATGCTATAGTTAGAAATAACATCCTTCGTCACAACGTTTAATTCCGACGATCGTATGATTCTAAAATAAAGCTCTATGCACGAGATGTGTGGCTACTATTCATTATGAGAAGAGGGCATAGATATTGCAGATCCTTGACTAATCAG